AGCTTTCTCGATGTCCGCTGAGATGGTTCAGGTGGAGCCCTGCCCCATGGATGTCTGGGCGGCTGCTGTTGTGGAAGTTCTAAGCACAACTTGCGTGGCTGTCCGCTACCAGGGAGTAAACGTCTGCGGGAACTCGCTGACGAAAACCGACGACTGCGCAAGGCGGCTCCGAACCCACAGGAAGGACGTCGACCACGAAAGTTTGATGTTAACCAGTGGGGTTCCTTCGGCAGGAAGAACCAGCACCGCAAGCAAGCTTCTCTTGCTTACTGTGGGAAGCAAGCTCAACAGCTGCGGAAGCAGAAGGACAGGGAACGTCGACTCAAGACCTCTCCAATGCCTAGCAACCCCGCATTGGAGATCGCTGCTGTGGAAGAGCTGCAAAAGCTCGGCTTCCTCAACAGTTGCCCTCGTCGATGCCCTCATTGTCGTGGCACCTTGGGTCAGTGGTCTGTTAGAAATGGCGCAGAGGCCTGCAATCTCTTTTTTAGAAGTTGGTGCACGTTCCTAGACTTGGAACCCTCAACCCTGAACAGCAAGCTTCCCTAAAGCCTAAACCTTGAACCCTAAGCCCTAAAAGCCTAAACCCTAAGCCCTCCCTAATCTCCCAAGCACTAAACCCTCGACGTGATGCTGCAGGTGTATGTCCGCTGCGTTGACAATGATTGCCGCAGACTTGTCAACTTGCTCACTTTGCAGTCCTGGTTGCCAACCTGTGTTCGACTGGGCAGAAAGACCACTCCCTCCAAGCTCTTGATGCTCATCCGAAGCTGGGTGGCCACTGGCTTGGGCCGTGCTCCGTCCGCCTACAACTTGGCACGCGCAGCGGGGATGAGCTTCAAGCCTGTCAAGGCGATTCTGCAGTGTCTCCAGGAACTGGAAAGTGAAGCAGGCCGTCGCCTCAACGACTCCCTCACTTTGCGTGGAACGGTCGAGGTCGACGCAACCTCTCTCAGATGCGTGCGTGTCTACAAGTCAACAAAGAGGTTTGGGACACCTGTGCGGACGTGGCTTGCCAAGCATCCGCACACCCCAGTGCCAATGTACTGGCTGCTCCACTTGGGCGCGGTCCAGAGAAGCGACAGTCGCAAGCTCGTTGTTCGTCTCCTGGAACACAAAGTCGTCCCAGCTGCTGCGAAGCCTCCTCCGGAGGCACATCTGCTGAACAACTGCAGTTACCCCCACTACCCTTCAATACCCTAGACCTGGATGTTTGGGTTTTGATTCACTTGGTGCGAAAATAAAAACTCACCATTTAGACCTTTTGTTCCTTTGTTCCTGGACAACTAGAAACTCTGAAATCGCAGCGCCTGCAGGCGACGGCTGAGATTCTGCAGTCGAAGCTTCTGGACAGTGTGCAGAAGAATGCTACTCTCATGGCAGACGGAGCACGGTCCTGGACGGCTGCTGCTAGAATCAGCGGACACCGTGGCGACACGAAACATGTCTCTCACTCCAAAGCTGAGTTCACGAAGGCTTCTCAGTCTTCGAAAACTTTAGGAACTCAACTTCTCGACCGGACGTGGGGCAACATCAAATGTTGTGTTCCGCCTACCCTCGCAAGCCGCGCAAAGCAAGGCTTGCCTGAACAGCAGATCCTGCAATATGTCTACCAGGCATTGTGGCGCCGAAATATCGGCGCTGCAGGTATGCTGCAGCACTTGGGAGCTCTGGCAAAGGCTGCCTGAAAAATCATCAAGCTCTGTTATCCTGCTTCTTTGGGCCTCCCTGGGTCTTGAGGCTTTCACGCTTGAAGTAGTTCAGACTTTCAGAACAAGGGAAATCCGATTGTTTAACAGTCATGGCATAGCGATGGCCTCAGTTCGTTGACACTTTCAGGGTTGTTTAGGGTTTAGTGGTTTAGGTTTAGGGTTGA